CACTCACCTCAGCCTCCCAAAGGTGTGGGATTACAGGCTGAGCCACCGAGCCCGGCTCACGTTGCTCTTCTAATTGGGCCTTGCTATCCAGATTTTATTTGGGGTCTACTTGGAAGGATCTAACATGTATGTTCTTTTTTAAAAAAAGGAACAGATGAACTTCAGTTTCACAGGCTTTCCTTTCACAGTGTTATGGCCGTCCATTTTGCGACAACCTTCCATGTGTTCTAGACTTGAAGGATTGAGTAACTACATTGAGACTAACGGGAATGGGGTTTCTCACGATTGGGGAACACAGTTGCAAGTGCGTGAGGAAGCATGACCAGAATGTGCCCTGCAGTGGGTTGGGAGTGCAAGCATCCATATGGATGCATGGCTTTTGGTAGATTGACAAATGATAGACAGAATAAATATGTGCAGGCAGACACACACACAGGCATTTCCTTGTTCTTAGGGCTAAGTCTAGAAACAGTGACATCTCAGAAACAATGAGCACACTCATCGCCCAGGTATTGTGTTCTAAGCACCATTCTTTTTTTTCCTTTTTTTGAGTTGGATTCTCACTCTGTCACCCAGGCTGGATGGGGAGACAGCTCTCCAGAGGTACCACTCCTCCTCCAGCGTCTGGGCACACACTGGACAGCCCCACCCCTGTGATGTCTAAGGAGACATTGTGACAGGCATGTTATGGAATTGGAGAAACTCAGGCAACAGTTTGGTGGATTTTTATAAATCTTTAAGTATCTCTTCAAAGATTATATATTGATCACAGATAAAAATAGTGAAGAGACGGGCAGGCACGGCCTTAACCAAGTGATCAAAGTTAGTGCCATCAATAAGTGCAGTGCAGTGGCATATTCATAGCCACCCCGGCGTCAACCTGCTGGGCTCTGGTGACCCTTCTGCCTCAGCCTTCTAAGTACTCAGAGCTACAGGCATGCACTACCATGCCTAGCTAATTTTTTTAAAATTTCATTGTAAAGACAAGGTCTTGGAAAGGTGCTGGGCTGGTCTTGAACCCGCAGGCTCAGGCAATCCACTCACCTTAGCCTCTCCAGTGCCGAGATGACAGGCTGAGCCACCAACCGTGGCTGTACCATTCTTCCTCAATAAGAACCTAGACTGTCAGAGATTCCACAGCTTGTCCTGGGAATGTAGTGTGAGCCTGGAACATCTTGTGACAGAAAGTAAGATGTGCTTAAAGAATGATGAAAACGTCCCCTCAGAACAAGGAGCCCATTTAAATGGCTCCCACTGGCCAAATATGAAACAACATAGTTGTCAAAACAAATAGTGATAGTAATGGGTTATCATCTCTTGAATTAAAAACTGGCTGGGTGCAGTGGCTCACACCTGTAATCCCAGCACTTTGAGAGGCCAAGGTGGGAAGATTGCTTGAGCCCAGACCTTCAAAGCCAACCTGAGCAACATAACGAGACTTTGTCTCGACAAAAACACTCAAAAAATTAGCTGGGTGTGGTAGCAT